GTTCTCCGTCGCGATTGGTTGACGCCCGGGTGGGTTTCTGGGTGTTCTGCTTCCTGATTGGTTCGCGCCCGAGTGCGTTTCTGGGGAGCCTCTCTTTGATTGGTCGATTCCCGGGTGCATTTCTGGGCAGCTGTTCCATGATTGGTTCGTGCCCGAGTGCGTTTCTGGGGAGGTCCTCTCTGATTGGTTGATTCCCTGGTGCTTTTCTGGGCAGCTCTTTGCTGATTGGTTCGTGCCCGAGTGCGTTTCTGGGGAGCCTCTCTTTGATTGGTTGATTCCCGGGTGCATTTCTGGGAAGCTCTTCCATGATTGGTTCGTGCCCGAGTGCGTTTCATGGGAGGTCCTCTCTGATTGGTTGATTTGCGGGTGCTTTTCTGGGCAGCTCTTTGCTGATTGGTTCGTGCCCGAGTGCATTTCTGGGGAGCTCCTCTGTGATTGGTTGATTCCCTGGTGCTTTTCTGGGAAGCTCTTCCATGATTGGTTCGTGCCCGAGTGCATTTCTGGGGAGCTCCTCTCTGATTGGCTGATGTCCAGCTGCTTTTCTGGCTGCTTCATGCTGATTGGCTGGCTAGCGGGACAGGCCCGGGCTCCTCAGCACTGATTGGATGATCTCAGGGGTCTCCAGTGCTGATGGGCCCGTGGGTAGTGATTCTGGCTGCCGATTGGCTGATGTGCAGCGATTCTTGCTGCTGATTGGCTGCTGGGTGAGAGGGGTTTCCCAGGGAATCCCCGAGCTGATTCAGTTTTGGGGGGGGCATTCCCGGGGCATCCCTGCCCTGATTGGTCCATAGGTGGGCGTTCCCCACTCTCATTGGTCGGAGGGAGGGTGCTTGTCTGGGCATCCCCACTCTGATTGGTCCCTGGATGGGCATCTCCCTGGGCATCCCCCCTCTGACTGGCTCGTGGGGTGGGCGTATCCCAGGCCATCCCCACTCTGATTGGCTCACGGACGGTTACTCGTTGGGCATCCCACCTCTGATTGGTCCGTGGGTGGGTGTATCCCAGGCCATCCCCACTCTGATTGGTCCGTGGGTGGACGCTCCCAGCTCGAATCAGTCTGTGATAGGGCATCTCTCAGGGCATCCCCTCTCCGATTGGCCCATGGGCAGGCGTATCCCCGGCCATCTCCACTCCCATTGGTCCGCGGCCAAGCATCCCCCACTCCCATTGGTCCGCGGATGAAGATCTCTCCGATTGGTCCATGGGCAAGCGAATCCCCAGCCATCCCCTGCTCCCATTGGTCCACGGATGGGGATCTCTCCGATTGGTCCGTGGGCGGGCAAATCCCCGGCCATCTCCACTCCCATTGGTCCGCGGCCGAGCATCACCCGCTCCCATTGGTCCGCGGATGGGGATCTCTCCGATTGGTCCGTGGGCGGGTGAATCCCCAGCCATTCCCCACTCCCATTGGTCCGTGGACAGGGATCTCTCCGATTGGTCCGTGGGCAAGCGAATCCCCAGCCATCCCCTGCTCCCATTGGTCCGCGGATGGGGATCTCTCCAATTGGTCCGTGGGCAAGCGAATCCCTGGCCATCTCCACTCCCATTGGTCCACGGCCGAGCATCCCCCACTCCCATTGGTCCACGTATGGGGATCTCTCCGATTGGTCCGTGGGCGGGCGAATCCCCGGCCATCCTCTGCTCCCATTGGTCCGCGGATGGGGATCTCTCCGATTGGTCCGTGGGCAAGCGAATCCCTGGCCATCCCCACTCCCATTGGTCCACGGATGAGCATGCCCCTCTCCCATTGGTCCGCGGACAGGGATCCCCAGGGGGTGGGGGGTAGGAGAGGTAGGGAAGGGAAGAGAGGGGAGGGGGGGGGGGGAACATTCCCATTGGCTGCCGGGGGTGGGCGTGGCGTCGGGGGCGGGCCGCGATTGGCCGCCCGGCTCTGACGGCTCCGCCCACAGCTGGAGAGCAAGCGCGACGCCTTCTCGCCCGTCCTGCTGCAGTTCTGCACCGACCCCAAAAACCCCATCACCGTCATCAGGGGGCTGGCGGGATCACTCAGACTCAGTGAGACGGGGTTGTGGGGTCGTGGGGTTGTGGGGTCGTGGGG